ACTTTGACCAAAGTACATTCTGATCAACTGCTGAAATGCAAAGAAGCTGAAACTGAGAAAGTTGTGTGTATATAAGATGAAGAGATAGTAGACTCAAATGCAAATGTTTTTCCCACGTGGGTACAAGAAACACAAGCCCTAATTCCTAGACAAAAGGGAAAAATCATGCCCAAACCCGAGGAAGAATCTGAGGAAAAAGCTTACAATACTTTGCTTATGACACTATAGAATCTAAGTAGATGAACCCAAATCATTTTTAGAAAAGAAAAGAAAGGAAAACAGGAAGGTAAGTAACAGCAAAAATTAATGAGAAAAAGTTGTACTGGGGAAAATCAGCCAAATGAAACATTGGTTCTTTGAAAAGATCAATAACATTGATAAGGCTTTAGTAAGATGATTCAGATGTAAAAAGGAAGGGCATAAACAAGCAATGTCAATAATGAAAAGGGAGATATAATTATGATGTTTTGGACCTTGAAAAGACAATGAGTGTATTTTTAACTAAATCATGCCAATGAATGAAACTTCGCATGAAAATAGGCAACTCTTTAAATAATATAACTCACTAAACTAACACAAAGAGAGCTAGATTATGGCCTACAATCTTTTTTTTTTTTTTTATCCTTACCTGAGGATATTTTTCCATTGATTTTTAGAGAGAATAAAAGAGAGAGGGGAAAAAGAGAGAAATATCAATGTGAGCGAAATATCAATTGGTTGCCTTCTGCACATGCCCCAACTTGGGCCCCAGGCAGGGGAAGAGCCTGCAACATAAGTAGGTGCCTTTGACTGGAATCGAACCCAAGACCCTTTGGACCTTTTGGCTCTATCCACTGAGCCAAACTGGCTGGGGCTGTCCTATAACCTTTAAGAAATTAAATCGGAGTCAAAAACCTCTCACTCTCAACTCCTAGATCAATTAGCTTCACTGGCAAATTCTACTGAACTTTCAGAAGAGTCAGTAGTGATATCATCATACCCAAAGTTTTTCAGAATGTATAAGTCTTGTATAACCTTAATTCTGAAACCTGAGAACAAAGTGAGAAAAAATATTTAGCTAATATCATTCACGAACACATATGCACCCTAGTTAAACAAATTATTAGCCAATAAAATCCAGCAAGTTAGATTTAATTCAAGAGTATAAAGCTGATTTGTCATTTGAAAATTAATTAAAATAACACAACACGGTAATGAATTGGGGGGGGATATATGAGTATCTCAATAGATACACACACAAAAAGCATTTGACAAAATTAAACATTATTTTATGACAAGAACACTCTTTGCAAAATAAGAATAAAAGAATGGTCTATTAATCTAAAAAATGTTATCTGCCAAAAACAACTATAGCAAATATTCTATGTGTGAGCTGCTGAATGCATTCCTTTTGCGATGGGAACAACATAAGAATGCCTGAAATCATAACATCTATTCAACATTGTACTGAAGGTTCTAGCCGGTGCAGAAAAGCAAGGAAAAGAAATTAGAACTGTCGGAAAGATCTGGAGGTAAACCTGTGTCACAGTGGTTGTCTCAGCATAACAGTAGAACTAAGACTGATGTACATTTTCTTATTATTTTTTATGCTTTCAAATTTTTCTATATTAAACACATTGCTTTTAGAATCGTTAAAAACCTTATGGAGTAAAAAATGAAAATGACACCTCTCACAAAATGTGGGATCTCAGTAATCTCTGTACTTCCCTTGATGGGCTTCACTTTGTCATTCCAATGCTTTTCACTGTGGCTACCAGAAGTTAATTTCTGGAGCAAGGTATCCCAGGCTTTTCAGAATAAACACTGATAAAAATGAAATCAAAACCACTTGACTTGGTTCTTAGACATGAATAGTATTACCAAGCCCTTGATTTTGCTGCTCAAATGGGAACTGTCAGTTAGAGAGGGAAAGGGACAAAAGGGACAGTGATGAATTGAGGTGTCTTGCAGTCTCTCTAGTTTGAATCACAAGATACCAAGATTTCGGCAGTGTAGATATCTTTGCAGGTCATCTACAAAGGTTCCTTCGCCTCTGGTTTAAAGTTATAATTGGAGGAAGTTAACTCTAAAACCATGGGAAGTTATAGGGGAGGAAGAGAAGGCAAAACTATAACCTAATAAATTACAAGCTTGGACTCTGGCATCCAACTTATTCATTGTATGACCTTGTACAAGTTACTGAATCTCTCCGTACCTCAGTTCCCTTCTTTATGGTTAGATTTAATTCAACCCAACATAAGAATGCCTGAAATCATAACATCTGTTCAACATTGTACTGAAGGTTCTAGCCGGTGCAGAAAAGCAAGGAAAAGAAATCAGAACTGTCGGAAAGATCCTTAGGTAAACTGTGTCACAGTGGTTGTCACAGGTTAAATGAGAAAATATATGTGAAGTGCCTAGCACAGAGCCCAGCTCATCCAAAGCACTCAGTGAACAGCAGCTATTCTGCAAGAGGCACTCACCAGCATCAAAGCAGATGCTGACACACAGCACGCTACTGGTGAGCACTCTCCAGAAGCTTCAAATATATTGACTATTTAACATGATATCTAATCCTCCTAATACCCAGGAAGTAAATGCTATTATCCTCATTTTACATGTTCATAGCATCAGTTTTCCCAGTAGTCAAAGGTGGAAGGAACCCAAGCATCCATTGACAGAGAAATGGATAAACAAAATGTGATGTGTGTATATATACACATACATACACAATGGAATGTCATTCAGCCTTAAAAGGTGACGAAATTCTGATAATATGTTTGAAGAATTAATCTAATGCAAAAGAACAAATGTTCTACAATTCCACTTATATGAGGTACCTCAAATAGTCAAATTCATAGAGACAGCAAGAAGAATAGTGGTTGTCAGGGCTGGGGAAGTGGGGATTGGAGAGTTATTGCTTAATTGGTACAGAGTCTCAATTTGGAAAGATGAAAAAGTTCTAGAGATGGATAATAGTGATGGTTGCACAACAGTGTGAATGTACTTAATGCCACTAAACTGTACACTGAAAATGGTTAAAATGGTAAATTTTATGTTATGTATATTTTGCCACAATAAAAAACAACAACTCTGCTTAAAAAAAAAAAAGAATCCAACAAACTGATGAATTTCAGAAGGAGTTATATGTCAGAGAGTTATGTGTCAGGTACAAGAGTGAGGTACTAGGAAAAGAGAATGGAAATTTCCACTCTTTTTTCATTTACATAAAGTCAAATAACAGGCAGAAGTAATCCATGCTGCTAGAAGTCAAGACAATGGTATCTGTTGGGGGATAGAAGGAAGAGTGACATGGCGGGGGGAGGGGGATAGTAGATGGAGGAGAGGGAACACAGTTTGCTAAAATGTCTCCTTCCAGATGTGGGTACTGGTTAAGTGGACATGTACATTTTGTGAAAATCCATTCAAATGTATACTCATGATTTATGCTCATTTCTCTATATGACACTTCAATAAAGATTAATGTAAAACTTCCCTATGCCCACCTCCATCATCTCTTCTATATTGACAATAAAAGCATAAGTCAATTGCAGCCTAATTTGGAGGCATCACTTTCAGAGAAATGCCTGTCATATCAGAGACTCTCTAGATTTTAAGAGGAAAAACCACTCGTGCTAACTTCATACAAGGGGGCATTATTGAAGGTATACTGGGAGATATTACCAATCTGAAGGGCAGGCAGTACTACTGTCCTTAGAGAGAATCTGGACACTGGCAAGATGTATGCTTTGGCTTGTGCCTACATTGATTATGGTATGCTATGCAAATATCTATTTCAACCATTTTATGAAAGGAACCACGTAACAAGCATTGTGCTGGGAACGTCACATTTATTTAGTCCTCAGACTGTTCCCTCACATATTTGCTGTAATATTATCCTTGTACAGAGGAGCCAACTGGTTCTCAGACCATTCAAGTCATTTTCCCAAGCACACACACAGAAGGTGGGGAAGGCATGGATGTTCAAGTTCTTCCCACCAAGGCAGTGTCTTATATTAAAGAATGTATCCCATGCCCTGTTCCGTTCCTCACTATTCCCCATCTACCCCTAATGGGCATCCTGTTGAAGGATCATGGTCAAAACCAGTCTTGCCCCTGGGGCCAGAGAATCCATCACCCTCAGCTACTGGGAGAGAGACTGGTTCTCCACACCAGCTTCAGCAAGGGAGGAGAGAACCACCCAAAGCTGGAACTGCAGGGGGGTCGGTCAATCGAGGTTCCCCCTTCTCCTCGTATCAGGGTCTTGGGTGCCTTAGTGTAAGGACCGGACCCGAAGGCAGAGAGCCCTTTTCCCTTAACCCAGAAGCTCTGGCTGGATCCGGACTCCAAGGCCACCCCCTCCAGAGTCCGAAACTGGAAGACCTGGGGGGAAGTCTCTGGTGACTCCACCCAGGGCTGAGCAAACCTGGCACCCACCCCTCCCCGTTAACTCGGCCTGGGCGCTGGTCCTGCGCGGCTGGAGCGCTGCTGAGCGCCAGCGCCTGGACCCTGAGCAGCCCGGCAGCCAGAGGTGCGCTGCCCTCTGAGCACTAGAGCCTTGAGGTTGAGAGATGAGCTGTTGGGGTAAATCCTAGCAGCCACTGTCAGTCGGGTCGAATCCTCCCGATTTGTAACTAAAAAGGGGTCCAGGTCCCCAAAGACATCTCCAGCAGGCAGCTCCGGTCCTGGGAGCCCAGGCTGCCCCGTGGGCAAATAGAGCCGCGTTTCCATCCCCGGTCAGCAGCAGCCTCGCCCCCCTGACCCTCCCGGGCTCTGGAGTCCAGCCTCCCTGCCCAGCCCTCCTGGGCAGCGGGGGGACGAATCCCCCGAATGGACCCCGGGCAGCCTCTCCCGCTGCTCCCGGGCCTGCCCCCCTCGCGCCCCCGCACGTCCGTTTTGCTCCTGAGCTCGCTCTGCAAGTGATGTAAGGCGGACAGGTGCGGGGCGCTTTTCCTCTTCCTCAGACTCGGTCCTCCTCCCGCCCGCCCGCCCGCCCGCCCTCCTGCCTGCAAGTCCTGGGCTGCGCCGCCGTGGCTTCCAGAGCTTGGGGACCGCGACCCGCGCTGTTGGGGAAGACAGGCTCCCACGTCCCACTTCGCGGTTGTCAGGAGGAAAAGCCAGGCTTTCCTCCCAGACACAAGGCAGAGAGTCCAGGGCACAGCTGCCGTGGAGGTTTCTAAGGAGACTCAGACTGGCTTCTTCCCCTGCTCCCAGGAGACTGGAGACAGGTGCTTCCGTGAGCCCCGGCGGTGGACGTTTATGTGAAAGACTGAGGTTAAAACATTAAGGAGACACAGACAGACAAGACAGACAGACAGACAGCAACAGAAACAGGGCAAGCGATAAAGAGAGGCAGAGACCAAGACTGTCAGACAGGTGGAGAGAGACAGAGAGTAAAAGAGACAGAGTCGGTGGGTGGGAGATGGACTTGGGAATTTCTTTTAACCCATTGTGATTTCCTCTGGGACGGAAGACAGCAACGCTGCTTGCTCCCTGGCCAGCAAGAGGCGCCAACCTGGATGCGTGAAAGATGCGGCCCGATGACATCAACCCGAGGACTGGGCTGGTGGTGGCCCTGGTCAGTGTCTTCCTGGTCTTTGGCTTCATGTTCACTGTCTCTGGGATGAAAGGAGAGACTCTGGGAAACATCCCCCTCCTGGCCATCGGGCCAGCCATCTGCCTGCCAGGCATCGCGGCCATTGCCCTGGCCAGGAAAACCGAGGGGTGCACCAAGTGGCCCGAAAACGAGCTGCTCTGGGTCCGAAAGCTGCCCTGCTTCCGGAAACCCAAGGACAAGGAGGTGGCGGAGCTGCTGAGGACCCCTTCGGACCTGGAGTCAGGCAAAGGAAGCTCGGACGCGCTGGCTAAGAAGGCAGGCCTCCGGGGAAAGCTGCCCCCCCAGGGGCAGGCGGAGGTGCCTGTGGCCAGCTCTATCACTACTCCCACCCCCACGGAAGAAGGAGAATGCCAGAGCCGGGTCCAGAGCGGGCAGCAGGAGGAGACTTCCAGATACCTGGACGGCTACTGCGCCTCGGGCAGTTCCCTCACCTACAGTGCCTTGGATGCCAAGTGCTCGGCCTGGGACAGGTCCGAGTGCCCCGAGCCCGAGGACAGCATCTTTTTTGTGCCCCAGGACAGTATCATCGTTTGCTCCTACAAGCAGAACAGTCCCTATGACAGATACTGTTGTTACATCAACCAGAGCCAAGGCCGGTGGGACCACGAGACGATAGTCTAGCTTTGCATACAAGGGTCGCCGTGCTGCTAGAAAAACGACTACGCTCAGCTCTCGACGGAAGGAAACTGCCTGCTCCAACAGCCTTCACACTGTTAGAGGTGGACCGGGTATGTGTGAGTGTGCACACGTTTGGTGCCTGAGAGCCATGTAAATAGGCATGTTGGGGACACATTTTAGGGAGGGGTGGTGAGTGTTAAGGACACTGGAAGAGGCAATGGGTAGGCGAGGAAGAAGTTCCAGTTACTTTTTAACAATTTATGTAAACCATGTTGGATGTTTTGTAAATAACCCAACAGGTGCCACTCAGTACTTGCTGAAAGCAAGGCAAATCTTGAGTGGGCTGCAAAACAAAAACAAAAACTGCCTATTCATAGCAAACCTGAGCTGCTTTAGGTCTGAAAAAGATTGAAAGAAGAAAAAAAAATGCCTCATTATAGGAAATGATTATCTATTGAAAGCCTTCAACACTTAATATTTGTTAAAAGGAGGAAAGATCAGGACAAAAAAGCTGCCCCCCTCCTTAGGGGAGGACGGCTTCTGGAGAGAGCAGAGTTAACGACAGTTGAATTATGGCACTGAGTTTTAAGATATCCTCTGACAGGATCAGGAATTTCAGATAAAGTAAAGTAAATGTGACTGGCTATGTGAAAACTAACATTTTTAGATGGCTATGTTACTTATTAAATTCTTCACTGAAAGTGACTTACTGGTCTTTATCTGAAGTGTTTTCTAACATTTACTAACATTTATGTATAATTTCCTCATCAGGTGCAAAATGACTTAATGTAATATTTTCATAGATCAGAAATTGTTTTTGTCCAGTCAAAATGGATTCTGCATATGTATACAAGTGTCTTTAACATTTTGGGGAAACATGTACTGGTGATTACTATTCTTATATGCCTTTTAAAATCTGAAGACTGTGAAGTCAATACCTTAGTCTTGAACTTTATGCAGAATTTATATGACATGCAATGATTAAACTTCTGGAAATGTCAGAAATGTCATTATTTGTACTTTTGTTCAGCGTTCCCAAAGACTGTAAGTGCCAATAAAATGAGAGTTAATCTACTAGGATTAACCAAAACCCAGTTTTTATTAAGTTCATCTGCTTAGTAAACATTACATGGCAAAGGTCTGCTTTATTTCATGTTTAATTTTTTGCTGCTGAGGAAAAAAATCACAATGGGGCCCTAAAAAGTATTTCCTCTTTCATTTGCTCAACTGTAATAGACAAGAGGTCAATCAGCCAGAATATTATCTGATCCAGTTGAAGAGAAATATTGAGTTATATATAGAAATGGTGATATATTTAATCTTGAAGATCAGAATAATTTTGCATCCTTTAAGGAATTTCTTTTTAATGTCAGATAGTTTCAGGCACTTTTTGCCAAAAGGGGAATTGAGGACAAAAAGTTTAGGTATATCTCTTTTGTGTACTTCAGGTCCAACTATGTAATTCTCTAAGAATGGCAATTATTCTTACTTTTAAACATCATCCCCTTAAAAATCACAATTTTCTAGTCAAATGCAACATCAAAAGTATGTGATTGTTTTTTGGTAGGGTTTAAATGTCAGCAAATGAGATTGGTGATCCTGGGCAAATTTTATCTTCTGACACCTCAGTTCCGTGAGAAGGGAGGAGTGGGACTGAATGATGCTAGGTTACCTCTTTGTTCAGTCCCAGGTTGAATATTCTATGGCACTGTGGCAAAGGCACTTGATATATTGCCATGAAATGAGTTACAGCAAAATGCAGGTCAAAGTCATGCAATTCATGATTACTAATATGTGACATGGATTGAATTCTTGCTACTACTAAAAAAAATTTTGTAAATGTGTAAAAGCAGATTTGTTTTATTATAAAAAATTTTTATTCAGTAAAATACATTTCTGGGGATAAAATAAAGATATTTAGAGTAAAATATTTTTGAGGATAATTTTTTTTTAATATTGGAGCCCAAAAAAATCTAATACATAACCTTACACTAAATGTAATTTACTTTGGATTTGGTATGGAGGGAAAGTCACAATATCTCTTGATAATTTGAATGTATTTTGAAAGAGGGAAATGATATGTCGAAGGAGGTAAAACTATTTCCTGATTCTGAAGTGTCAATTCAGCCAAGATACCCAAGCTGGAGCATATTTAGACAACTGTTTCAAAGACTTAGTCTCTATTGCAATTATCATGGTAAACAAGATTCTGATAGATTCAGTTCAGGCTCTCTTCCAAACTTACTAACTAGCTCCTTGGAAAATGTTTTCATTTCTATGGCTCTTGATACCTATTGATCTGGCAAATGTGGGAAGAAAGATTTATTCTTTTAAATGGGTTTTCCCTTTTGACAATATCCAACCTCTAATTGTTTACTAATATCTCCCCTCTACACCTTCAGATTCACTTATTTGGTGAACTCACTGTTACTATTCTTTCATAACATTGAAGAAAATATTTTTGAAAATCCACAGTCCCACTATCCTAATAGAACTAACATATTTCCATTTTAGCATATTATCTTCCGGGCTTCCTCCATATGCATATGCAACTTACCTATTATAATCCTATGCTTTTCTTTAATCTTTTCATTATATCCTAAGAATTTCTTCATGTTTTTATGCAGTGTCCCTAATTATTACTTAACAATTGTGTAATATGCTATTTAGTGAGGTACCATGATTTATCATGCCATACTTCAGATACCGTGTTTTATGGATGGTTTCATATTTATGTGTTTTTTCTGTTGTTTGGTAACACAGCTACGTTATTTGCTATTTGCCCATAGAAGTAAAAATTTACAATTGAAAAAGTTATGTCTTTATAGATGAGAATGAGGGGGCAGAAATATGTAAATGGATAACACTCAATATTGGCCGAAACCGGTTTGGCTCAGTGGTAGAGCGTCGGTCTGCGGACTGAAAGGTCCCAGGTTCGATTCCGGTCAAGGGCATGTACATTGGTTGTGTGCACATCCCCAGTGGGGGGTGTGCAGGAGGCAGCTGGTCGATGTTTCTCTCTCATCGACATTTCTAGCTCTCTATCCCTCTCTCCTTCTCTCTGTAAAAAAATCAATAAAACATATTTTAAAAAAAAACACTCAATATTGTTGGTTTTCTCTTCACTTGTGTAGATGCAAGATGTAGGGTAAGAAACAAAATTATGATTCTTCAAGAGAGTCCCCCACTGGGACCAGAGCCAGTATTTTTAAGAGTAAGAATAAGATGAGACCTTTATCCAGTCAAGATACCACCAGTTTGTATGTCAAAATCAGATTACTGGGGTGTCCATCTTCAAGAGCTTAAGGTTGAACAAACAAAATGAAAATAGAACTAGAAAATAATAATTACTTCGTAATATTTCAAAAGCATTTTGTTAAAGTATCTCACCACATATTTTATACTTAATATGTATGTAAATTGTTATCTATTAGTGATTTACAAATGAACTAGAATTTTAGGAATTCAATAGACTCTACCCACGAAACTGTTTCAGTTTCTCATTGGAAGACGGAGATGTGGACAAATGCTTGCCTCAACCAAATATCTCAATAAAGGACTGAATTCCTCTCAGCCTCTTGTCCAGATAATATAAAATCACATAAACACATTTAAATCACAGATCACTGACTTGATTTATCACTGCCCACCATGGAGTCCTCACTCCATGAATACCCAAAACAAAGAAGTTTACACAGGATTCTGTCCAGATACACAAATAGGTGGGCACTGACATTAATCTCCATAGTCTAGCGAGTTATTCCTGGACCTGACCTTTGTTAGAGGTTCTTTCTTTACTTTTCCTTTTATTCCTCCTCCTGGCCCCATGTTAGAGCCTGCAACCTCAGGGTCCCCGATGACAGCACACGCCTTTGCATGCCTTACTCCTAATAATATACAGTTACAAAATAGGCTGGTCACAAAATAGCATATAAAGCTATTAAACACCTTTTTGCTATTCATTTAACAAATCCATCCCTGAAAAGTTAAATATAATGACATTTTTGCAATTAATCACTTTCTTATTCTTCATGGTAATGAACCATTGTGTGTGAGACAGGTAGTTCTTCAGTTGGAGGTAAGACCACATTTGTTTAGAAGAATTAGGCTTTTGAAAATCACCTGCCTGTAATTCAACATGGGAATATGAACAATTACAGTACCTTCTATGTAAGTGATGAGACCATCGCACCTACTCAAAAAAGCCCACCTGCACCCTTTGCAGCAGCTTCTCGGCTCTTCCACTACTGTGCCCTGCAGCTGACCATCCTGAATCTTTGCCTAACCATTTTCTCTGCCTCAAATGCAGACATACTGTCTTCTGCTGCTTAATGCCCTAACATCCTTCAAGAGGAAGCTGCCACATCTTCCACAGTCTTTTAGCTTTTCCCACTCAGACAGAATACTTCTGTCACCCTGGGGTCAGATGATGCCTCCACCACTATCATTGCACATATTACCTAGTTGAGTACGCATCTGCCTTTCCAACTACAGCTCTTTGAGAAAAAGGCCACATTTTATTCTTCTTTCTATCCCACTCTCCCTCTGACCTCTCCTACCTCCACTATACACACACACACACACACACACACACACACACACACACACTCACACACACACTCCTCCATGCTCAATGAAAACTCTAAATTGCATCATTTGGGTTATCCTCAAAGCCTACTCGCTTCCACTTCCTCTTTCTGGCATGAAAAGAAAACTGCCTTGTTGATGTGAATTAAATTAAATTGAATATAGTCAGCAACAGCATGGATTAAAGTGGGCTTGTGGTTCGAGACCCTAAGTTTTATTTAGCATCTGGTTTCTTTGGGGAAATCACATCTTACATAATAAGAAGGAAGCGATGAATCTTTCCAGAGTTTTTTTCTCTTCCCTCCATGACTGACCTAACTCCTGCTCCCTGCTTCCCTCTATGAGCAGTGGCCGTTCTGCACATGACAAGAAACTGTGGTTCTAGAAGCACTGGACAACTAAGGCTTTGAATTTCTGACCAGAAAGAATGTGAATCAATATACGTAGGTTAATCCTGTAAGTAGGTCAACAAAATATAATTTCCCGGCTTTGACTATTGTTATGTTTCCATCCAATGGTTTATAACAGGACTTTTAAGGCCACCTATTCTCTGGGGTCAGTTTTCAGGAGCTGAGTTGCAGACCCTCGTGCCAACCACCCCATGAAGCTTCCCTTCTATATAAAGGCTGTGAGCTGCTTGGAGACTATGGTTTGTGGTTCAGAGAAGCCCTACCTTATTCTGGAACATGATGATGAGCAATTCCCTTGAGCAGTATTTCAGGCCAGTCTTAATAACTTCCGACCCATATAATTTGTCCTGTGAC